GTCAGAAATGTGTCCTGCTTCCTGGGCGCCCCTTGCTCAGGGCTCTCACAGGCTGCAGTTAAGATGTTGGCCAGGGCTGTCATCATCTCAAGGCATGGCTGGGGGATCCGCTCTAAGCTCCCTGCTGGGTCTGTTGGCAGATCTCAGGTCCTTGCTGACTATTGGCTGGAGCTGTCAATTCCTTGCCACATGGGCCACTCCGTAGAGGTGCAACTGACTTTCTTTAGCAAGAGAGAGAGAGAGAGAGAAATTATGTAAACCACGGTCTTTTTGTAGCCTAACCTTGGAAGTGGCGTCCCATCATTTTTGTGGTACTGTGTTCATTAGAAGTGAGTCACTAGGTCCAGGCCACATTAAAAGGGAGGAGATTACAAAGGGCATGGATATTGGGAGATGAGCATTACTGGGGCCACCTCAAAGGCTACCCACCACAGGTAGGGGAAGAGAGAGAGCAAATATAAGGTGATATATTACCAAGCTGGCCACAGTTTTGCAAAAACACCTTAGTGTCTGGTTGGTCATGCTGAACATCTCCAGAGAACTTCTTGTAGCCTCTTGGCACCGTGGAACAGTCTGCAAGGAAAGAAAAGGGTGAGGGCACTACATTAGATCCGTAGGGTGCTGTCACAAAGCACCACAAACCGGGTGGCTTAAAACCACCGCAATGTCTCACAGTTCTGGAGGCTGGAGGTCTGAAGTCAAGGTGTCAGCAGGGCTTCCTCTGAAACCCACGTGGGAGGATCCCTCCTTGCCTCTTTCAGCTCCGGTAGCTGCGGGCATCCTCAGTTCCTTGACCTACAGATGCGTCACTCCAGTCTCTGCCTCCATCAACACATGGCCATCTTCCGAGTCTGTGTCTCTCTCTTCTTAACAAGGACACCAGTCATATTGGATGAGGAGCCAACCCTATTCCAATATGACCTCATCTTAACTAGTTACATCTACAATGACCTTATTTCCAAATTCTGAGGGTCTGGGAGTTTAGGACTTCAACATATCTTTTGCGGAGACCTAATTGAACCCATTACAAGCACTTTATCTGTGGGCTCCTTTCCACCTCCTGTCTCTCACTGGTCAAAAAGCCACCACCACCCTTACCCCACCCCTGCCCCAGGACCATTAAGTCCCCTGAACTTCCGTGGTACCCAGTTCCTTTAGGCAGTGGCCAGGGAAAAGAGAGTCTCCCCGGTCCAGCCCGTCGATGGACTGGCTTGGCAATCTCTCCTTGCCAGTCGATCCTGTTTGGGTGATATTGGAGGTGGACGGGGTGTCAGGTACCAGCATGAGAACCAGGTCAGCTATTGCTTGAGGCTGCCTTGGCCAGGAAACCAGAGGCTGAGCAGGTGTGAAGCAGGTCATGAATCAGCTACAGGACGCCACGGGATGCCAGCACCTTGCAGGAGGCTGGATATACTGATGCTTTAGAATGATTGAATCAATGATTGAATGATTGAATCTGAATGAATCCATGAGTTTGCCTTCAGTGCCTCTCCTATACCTCCCCACCACCACACACACACACACACACACAAAGTACATACCTGAGTGCCCAGCGCTGCACCGTGCCCTCTCTGGGGGCCTCTGCTCTTTCCTCAGTGCTGGAAGAGCCAGATCAGGGAGTCTGGTGTCAAGAGGCCAGTTAGGAAGCTGGTGCACCAATGTCCACATGCGTGATAAGGGTCTAACCCAGGAATGGAAGTGAGGGATGGTGTATAGGAGGTGCTTGAAGGAAGGGGCAGTGGACATGGGTGCTGGCCTGGGTGGTTGAGACGGAGAACGGAGCTGAGGAAGTTCCCAGGGCTCTAATCATTGAGGGTGGGGCCCTGGAAGAACATTTAATCATTTGAGGGCAGGAGTTTCTCAGTTTGGGTTCTCCTGAACCTGAAACAAGGATTTAAGCAAAACTAGTTTACTTGGGAGACAATCCAGGAAACATCAGGAGAGTGGGGGACGTGACCAGGTTAAGAAGGAAGTCAGGGACCACCACAGGCTCCAGCTTAATCCCCACTCCCTGCAGAGAAGTGTGGGAACCAGTGTAAGATGGATGTCACCTGTGACTCGAGGGCGCTGGGGTCTTTAAATGCCCACTCCTGCCAAATGTGGGTCAACTGCTGCTCCTGGCTGATGTCAATTCCCCCAGCACTTCCTGCCTGCCCCCAAGGGGAGCCAAGTGGGCTCCAGCTGCCAGAGAAAGTCCTAACAGGACAGTGTGGTGCTGCTGGGTGGCAGCAGGGCTGGTGTGCCCGGAAGTGGAAGTGGCGAGGGCAGGAGCTATGTGCGGCCAAGACAAGAGACCTCCGAGCACAAAAGTGGGAGCCTGTGTCCCGGGGCAGGTAAAGAGCTCGGTTTTATAAATGCTCTAGGACATCAGCTCTATGGAGCTGGATTCCAACCCCATGAGAGAAATGGGTCACTTGGTGGAATCGGACCGATCATTAAAGCTAAGGCCGTGCATGAAAAATCCTAGACAGAGATAGAAGGCTGAGAGCCACACCGTGAATAACGACAAACGGCCAAGTTCATGATATTTTTTAGACATGGCTCTGCGGGAAGAGAAACGCTTTTCCCCTCCCCACCCTTGCCTCCAGTCATTCTCAGAAGGGTCAAAGCTGTCACAGGAGGGATGGAGAGGAGCTCAGCATGTTTTGAGAATGTCACAGGTGCAGGGTCAGCAATGAGATGAGGCATTCAGGCCCAACACTGTTCTGACTTATGTCACCTTAACACTGGAGACCCAGCAAAGCCAGTCTACCCTCTACTGAAACTCTTTGCAGCTCTGAAGCCTCAGACGAGACCTCCTTGGGTCTGTTTTCACAAGCACATCTTTCTGGGAAGATTAAAGCGACAAGCATCCATGGAGATCTATAATCTGGCAGCTTCTTTGCAGGACAAGGTTGGTAAGAGGGTAATTAGGGATGTTAAGGTCATGGCTATAAGCTATGTGTGGTGGTGGGGCGTTTGAAGGACCCAGGATCGCAGGTTAGGGATCCTGCGTTTTTTAGGGGCTTCCATAGACAGTGCATGTGCTGCCCTGCTGCCCACAAATGCCAAACACAGGGGCAACTCAATGAGATGTCACTCCGTTGGGCATATCTGGCCACATCCTCCCCATCCTCCAGCAGTCACGTTTGGCTCCTTTGTATTTGCTTTAGGGGCCCCTTTCCTGGAAAAGCCCAGTCGTGGGATGTATCTGTGTCATATATACCACCTGAACCCTATTTATGGAAGAGCAGGCTCACCTGGAAGAATTCTGCAGTGCTGGCTGGGTCTGGGGAGTGGATGTTCTGGGAAGGGCCTATCTTTATCACCTGAGCAGAGAGGAAAGGTTGCCAACAGGCAGTGGCACTAAATGTTGAACCGAGTGATGCCATTAGGAGGGGAAACCTCCGTCCCACCAGCAAGTCTGATTCACTGACTTGGGAGAGGAAAGGTGGTGCAGTGGTTAGGGCCCTGGGTGCTGGGGCCAGGCTGGGTGGGCTTGAATCTTGTCTCTGCCACTTAATAACGTTGTGACCCTGAGAAAGTTACATGGCCTCTCTGTGCCTCGGTTTTCCCCATCTGTAAAATGGGAGCTAATAAGAATTGTTATTTCATAGAGTTGTTGGGAGGACTCTGTAAGTTAATGAAACTGCACCTGGAACTTAATGAAGCCTCTCCAAACGTTAACTATTCTAATTACTCATTGCCCTCCCTGGGTCAGAAACATTAGGCAAAGATGGCCCACCATTTTGTTGGAAAATAAGTTGCTCCTAAAACCCCATTTTTAAAATCCTTGTTGATCTCATTAGGTATCCATTACCTCTGATGCACACTGGGTTCAAATGAGAAACAGCAGGAAGACCCACAACTTCTGGTTCCTCCCTCCTCCCCTGAGGAAAGAAAGGCCAGGAGCTCAGGGAGACCGCACAGGCTCCGGCATCTCTCGGACCTGCACTCAAATCCCAGCGCTGGCGCTGAGTGGCCACATGGTCTCAGGTAGGATGCTTTGGTTTTGTCTGGGTCTCAGTTCTCTCATTCACAAAATGGGGATAATAATAGTCCTGTCTCCTTTGCTGCGCTGGACCATAAAAGGCATGGCAAAGAGAGTAGAGGTCTGGGACCCTGAAAAGCACGGACAGGCTCAGCAGGTGGCCTGGGATGCCTGGAAGAAGGATGCAGGATGAGGGGCCCACAGAGGACAGGGCAGCGACCCCTACCGGGACTCCCTGCTGATTACAGCAACACAGTAAAATTCCAACCTTGTCTCCTTTTCTCCCTTAGAATGAGGGCCTCCTAGCTCTAGGGCAGAGAGAAAGTGATGATGCGGGAACCCAGGGAAGGGGCACCCGGAAATGCTGGGCCTCTTGTCAAACACTTCTAATTTTGTGGGCTTGGGAAATGAAAATACTATCAAACTCAGGGTGTTGAAAGCTCCTTTTAGGATGACATCAGAAATTGAAGGCTCAGAGCGGAGGTTGGGGGCAAGATAGAGGGCTCATCCCCATTCAGGAATGCAAATGAGCTAGTGGCACTCACACACACACACACACACACACACACACACACACACACACACACTGCCCCCAGTCTCTGAGATTTTTGGTTAGACCTTCTGGAAACAGCAAACATTAGGGAGAGTGGAATTCTAATGGAATTGCAGGCAGAGGAAAGACAGTGGGCAAACACTGACACACATGCTCACGTTGCATAAATATATCAGGGCCCATTCCTCTCTCAGGGAGAAATTGCTGGGCTTTGAAAAGCAGTTTCCGGGAAGTGTCTTAAATGCTTGAGGTATTTCTAGACATTTCAGAGCATGAAAAATGCTTAAAAAAAAGAAAGAAAGAAAGAAAGAAAGCCCCCTCCCCACCCTCAGCCCTGGAGGCCACGTCCCTCCCCCACCATTAAGACACTTTGGGGACCACCAAAAAGACAGGGTTTGGGGTTTATTTTTTGAAATGATGCATTATTTTGAATGCACGAAGACAAAACTGTTTCAAATGAAAAGGCTTTATTTTTTACTTTATCTCACCATGGAAAATTTGTGCTCAGAGGTAAAGAACAGACTTACATAAAACGAATAAATTTTTTAAAAATAGGAGGTGCTTCAAAGGAGACCAGAGTCCATGATGAATCAGGTGCAGATGCCCACCATCAGGACACCACTGTTGAGGGGGGGAGAATGTGATGATGGTGTTAGGGTGGGAGAGTGAGGCAGGACCTGAGCTTCCCCTCACTGTGAGCCATCCCTGCCACTGCGCCCCCAACCCCACCCCACACTCAGCTGGTCTAGATATTGGAGACTTTGCAATGCTCCATCTCTCTGAGCCTCAGTTTCCTTGTCTGTAAACAGGATTATGGCCACCCTGATGATCTTGCCTTCTGCCTTTGCAGCTATAGACAGTTGGTGGGAAACCGGGAGGAAAATGTCTAGGGCTCTTTCTGCTTCCAGGGGGGGCTGCCAGACATGACTGGATTGCACCCTAAAGCAATTTAGATCTTTTGATAACAGGTACAAGGGGTGGATTGAACGTGGGTGGGTCTCGTGGCTTGGTAACATTGAATATTCCCAGAAAGGCACTCCTTGGCCCTGAGGACTGTCAGCAAGAGGGAGTAATGTCTAGGTGTCCCTTTCTCAGAGTGTGGTCCCCAGAGACAACACACCCAGAAGGGACTCTAATGGTGGAACCCACAGGAATGAGGGTGGCTGTGGCCGGGGTGGCAGGGAGGAAGCTCACCATTGCAGCCCAGGCGAGAGTGGAAGTTGATTCGATCTATCTTGCGACCAAAGCAGCTGTCGAGGACAGGCTTCATTGTGGTGACTTGTGGTCTCTGCAGGGCCTGGGGGTCGCCGGGCCCAGGGCCAACATCGCGACCTGCCCGCTTGGCCTCCCAGGCTTTTCCAGAACCGCTGTCCTGCTGGAGGGGTTCTGGGGCCACCTGCCCCTCCTGCAGCTCTGAAACCTTGTCCTGCCGATGGTCCAGCAGTTTCCCGGGATGGCCCGAGGCTTGGGGGCCCGAACCTGAACCCAACCACCCTCCATGGCTCCCAAGTGAACCGACCGCCTGGCTCCCAGTCTCACCACTTTCTGATTCCCAAGGGAGGGTGGGGACCGCTTGTGAAGGTAGGTGGAGACCCGTTCACTGCTGCTGCCTGGCCCTCCAGGCCGGAGGGGTTTACGCAGCCGAGCAGTGCTCACCTGTGCTTTGGACGGTTCCAAGGCAGGGCCTGGACCACCCAGAGGGTGGCAGCGACCTCCTCGCAGCGACAGGTGCAGAAGCAAGAGAAGCAGGAGGGCCCGGGGTTGCGCCATCTGGGGGTCCATGATGCTGGAGGGGCGGGCGGGGGTTGCTGCTGCTGCGGCTGGGTTCCCGTCTCACCTCCTCGAGGCTCACGGCGGGTGTTCTCCTGGATCCTTGGGTGCCCACGGCCTTTTATCCTGGGCCTGGGATCCTGGCTGGCCCTGCCCGTCAGGGTTATCTATGATTTATCGCCCTCATTCGCTCCCGCTGAGATGAGGGCCGGGGAATGTCCCCTTCAGCGCCTGCGACCTGTACTCGCTGGGGTAGAGGCTGGGAAGAGCGGGCCTCGTGTAGACACGGGTCTGGAGGGCGGCAGGAGCGCGCGGGGGACACCCACAGGTCCCTCGTCTCCTGCTTCCTCCTTTCCTGCAAAAACCCCGGGGGCCTTAGAGCGGCGCTTTCGTCTTCCTCCCCACCACCAACCATTCCTGGAGAGGGGCGGGATAACTCCAGCTTGCGGAGGCCCGATGCAACTGCGGGCCGTGCGGGCTGACTCAGAGCCAGCACCCACCACTGCAGCGCCTCTTCCTTCCCGAGGCAGGTTCTCTCGCCAGCCTGGCTCTTGGCACCCCTGCGGCACCGGCCGCTCTCCCCTGTGCCCTGACTGCTGTCCGTGGTTCTGATCTCCCTGAGCAAACTACGCAAAAGGTCTCGCTCCCTTCAACAGAGGTCTAGCCAGAAAGACAAGTGTGGGGCGGGAGCAAGACCCCACTCACCCCACCCTCCCACAACCCCCTGAACTAGGATGCTAATTCTTCAATGTCACCTGATTAAAAGCCTGGGTATGACAAGGACCTTCTGGAACGCTGACCCTGCTTTCATCCCTTAAAGGGTAGAGCTGATTTGGCTGGAATTTTGAGAGGCAAGGCCCAGAGATGAAGTCATCCAGGAATGCCTTCTATCAACTCTCCTTCAGGTGCCAACACCTTCTCTCCGTCACCAAGCCAACATATGACGGAAAACGCAAGGATGACTGGAAGATGGTTATCTATTTGGTGGACACTAAACCTGTGAGGAGTGCCTTCCCCAGGCCTCCTTCATCCGATTATCCATGATCTAATGCCCATTAGCAGGTGGTCTGGACCTCCCATCGGTGACTACAAATGAGGCCCCCCAAAAATTAAAATGGCCCTGGGAAGAGACACAGATTAAATCCCCTGAAAAGTATGCATGACCGATGTCACCACCCCTTCCAGATAACTTGTGTTAACAAGCAGCAGGATGAGGGAGCAGTGTTGTTCAAGAAGAGAGACCGGCCATGACAGAAGTGGAGAACGGGGCAGCAAGGGGCAGAAGCTGCAACCTCTAAGCAAATCTTCCCTTAAAAAATAATCAGCATCTGCCAGGTATGGAGTGAGAAAAATACTGTTATTGTTCCTCATTTTTCAGATGAGGAAACTGAGCTCAGAGGAATTAACTTACTTTTTTGGGGTCACACAACTGACAAGTGCTGAAGCCTAGATCTGAACCCAGGCAGCCTGGTTTCAGACCTGAAGCTCTTAATCACTGCCAGGGTGATGGCGCGATGTTTCTACCAAAAGGGAAATTAGATTAATGTATTGTCATCTCTGAAGTTACAGGGAGCTGTGCTGTGAGCGATATGTAAGTCTGGTGGCTGTGCATGCCTATGGTAAAGGTGAGCATTTTGCAGATGAAGATAAGGTAAGGGCATGTAATGATGCCAGTCCTAGGAAGATGCTGGGGTCTGGGGCAGTGTGTGTGTGTGTGTGCACGTGCGCGTGTGCGCGTGCGTGCTCATTTGCATAAGCACACATACACACCACAGGAAGACTATCTGAAGGCTAAGTGGCAGTGAGAGAGAACAAAATCCAGCCGAGTGCAGAGCTGAGTCAAAGGGCTGGGGGCTGCCAAGGACGTAGAGTCCCTCATGTTGGGTGGCATGAGGTAAAGGGTTTGGGGCAATACAAGGGTCATTCAACCAGCCCCTGTCAAGAACTGACTGCAACTAACCTGAACCTCGCTTTGCTCTTCTGCAAAGTAGACATATGCTCCCTCCTTGTAGGCACTCAGAGGGAGAAAATGGTGTCTGCAAAAGCCCACAGCAGTGTGGAAAAAGAATTCAGAATGCGTGTGGCAGTTTGTCCTTGTGTTGCGATCTCACTGTGTCACCCAAGGAGACACAACTAAGTGCGAAGCCCTCTCACAGAGCTGCTACCTGCCCCCAGTGGACGGGATGTGGGAGAAGGCTTTAGAGAACACGCAACACTGAATGCATAGGGAAGGACGATATATTATCAATCAGCATTCACACCGGATCATGCCCCACAAACATTTATTGAGTGCCTACTGTAGGCCACGCACTTGCCACTTCTTTTATACTTTTTTTTTTCTTTTAGCTGAGCCATCCTGCTACCTGTTGGCAGCTCAGTGGCTGCTCAGCTCGGGCTGGACTCGAACCGCTGTTGCTCAGAGCTCAAACTCTTGAG